GAAAGGAAATCACACATGGGAAGGAAATAAAGGAAAATAAATTAAGTTGCTCTTTGTTTTCATTGGGGTTCTTCTGTAAACAGAGCTTGAGACAAGAAATTGATGCAGGTAATTAACTTGGTGGTGTTATGGGTTGATTTGTATCCCTCAAAAAAATATGCTCAAATCCTAATCCCCGGTATTTGTGAGTGTGAGCTTATTTGGAAATAGGGTCTTTGCAGATGTAATGAGTTAAGTTCATATGAGATCAAACTGAAGTAGGGTGGGCCCTAATCCAATATGACTGGTGTCCTTCTAAGAAGAAGAGAGAGAGACAGAGAGAGAAACACAGGGAGACCACCATGTGAAGACACAGATGAAAGACAGCCATGTGTAGACGTAGGCAGAGATTGGAACATCCGTGGCTATCAGAAGCTTGAAGAGTCAAGGAAGGATTCCTCCCCTTGGGCCTTCAGAGAAAACATTGTCCTGCCAACACCCTTAATTGAGATTTCTAGCCTCCAGAACTGTGAGAGAATAAATTTCTGTTGTTTTAAGCCACCTAGTTTTTGGTACTTGTTATGGTAGATGTAGGTAACTAATATAGGAGGTGGTCCCTAGGGGCAGGACTGAGAGGTCAAGGACAAGAGAAAGGCCAAAATCGTTCTGACTCTGGTTTTAGAACTACCTCTGCTGAACGGAGGAAGTGATCGTCAAGCGTGAGAACCATGGGCTCTGGTTGTAGATGACCTCAACGGGCTGGGCAATCTGGGGTTAGTCACCCATCCTCTCTGGGGCTAGCTTCCTTCAGGTTCACAGAGGCCTTTCCACCAAAAATATACTAGTCATTTTCTATCTAGGCAAACCTCAGCATCGCAGCGATGTACTGCAAGAGACCTGCAGCCAAGGTTTTCATAGAAATTGTGTAAGAAGTGGCTCCTTTGAAAGCTTGACATTTTTGGTTTTAGTTCTTTTGAATTTACACTTTTCTTCTGGTTCTTTGGTTGCCATTTTAGTGTGAGTGTTGCTCTCCTGGTGAAGTTCTCAGCAGGTTTAGCCCCCGGGCCTGAGCAGCAGTTGGCTCTGGACCTCACACTCCATTTCACTCTTCGTTGCACCTTTTACGGGTAGGTGTCCATCAGTACAGAGGTCGGATGTGTGTCCTGGGGGAGAGCTGGCCTCACCTGATGAGGTGCATGGAGGCGGGTGGGGCTGGATAACAGGGGCTGATGGGAAGGCATATCTCTGTCCAGTCTGGATTCTTAAGTGACTGTTGTGCTCTCTGCCTAGTTTTTTTTCACCCTATGCTGCACTTATTTTTTTTTAATTAATGTTTTAATTTTTATTTTGTTGTATCCTACCATGTTTAAGAAAGACTTTATGATAACTTCCAAAGAAACAAGCACCAAAACAACAACAAAAGAATAGCAAACACTTCTATTTGCTTGCTAAATGCCAAGCGGAATTTGAGTTCTTGCTCTACCACTGATTAACAGGTTATCTCAGGGTCAGAGAGGTGAAGATATATATCTGGCATCATCAACACAGCAGGGACTCCTAGTCCAGAATTCATGCCTCCCTACTCTGAAAAACTGAAGCAGGAGCAATTGACTTAGGCAAGGGATCATTCAGCCCCGTCGTTCCTCATCTCTATCACCTTAAATTATCTCTCTGTCAGCTCAGCACGCACCTATGGGGCTTATGCTAACTAGTCACGGATAGTTTTAAGTGTAAATAATGCTATATTAAGGGCTATATTTCTTGTTCATTGTTTCTCTCCTTTAAAATCAAATTGAATCGCTTCATCTCCTCCTACCCCCAAGCTAGAATACCTCTAGAAATAAATTATCACGTGGGTGAGTGCTGTAGACAGGCCCTACACCTCCTCTCCCAGTCCTTCCCTCATCACTTCCTGCCATTCATGTCTAACCTCCTTCCTTCTCAAGCCTGAAATGCTCCCGAGAACACATTTCTTTGTGTTAAGCTATGTGCTAGACCTATTTGTGGTCAACAGTGTGACTTTCTGATAGTGGATGCCAGCCTAAGATTACAAACACTGAACTTTAGCCCTGGTGATACCAAATCTCTCTTGTTTTCAGTTTCTGCAACTTATAAAACATGGGAACTGGACCATTGCAGGAATGCCAAAAAATTTCATCTACCAATCTGTTGTTAGTGGCTGCTTAGACCACTGTGATCAGAAGGATTCTGAAAGGACATCCAGAACCAGGAGAAAGAGTGCAAGCATTGATTAGCAAACTCTGTCTTGGGAAGGGGGTGCGGTGTGGTGTATCACTTGCCAACCCAAGATTAGATGACCTTGTAGGCCCTGGTGGTACAGTAGTTAAGAACTCCGGCTGCTAACCAAAAAGTCAGCAGTTTGAATCTACCAGTTGAATCTGCTCCTTGGAAACTCTATGGGGGCAGTTCTACTCTGTACTGTAGGGTCACTGTGAGTCGGAATTGACTCAAGGGCAATGGGTTTTGGTTTTGGTAGATTCATTCTAGCTCTGAACTGCTGGGAATCTAAGTTTTTCTGTACCTTCTGTTTTTCAGAATTGACTTGTGCTTAGTTTCCATCGGAGGTCTTTCCTTTTCCCCAGCTCTTTCTCAGAAGCTCTTTAACAAGTTTATGATAAAGCACCAACAGTTAATGAAAGCCTGAAGGTCACACCACCATCACACTGTCTAACTTGGGTAAGTCATTCCTCCGGGATTTCAGGGAAATGGTGCAGGTGATGATAGCTAAGATTTCCTCCAACCACCAACTTCCACAATTCTGTTATCCTGGAGTCATAATGCCATGAAATACTTGTCTTAAAGTGGATACAGAAAGGGTTCAAAAGCTAGAATTTCCTTCTCTTTCTCCTCCTCATCCACCTTTTCCACCTTCTTACTGGTGGTAGGGAAGGTGGTGGGCTTCCACCAGCCCTCAAACTTAAATTATACCCCTATTACCTCCCTGCCACTGCCCACGCCAACAGACCAGGCTGGCCTGGAGCACTTGGGTAGATTAAAGGGACCACACAAAGCAGAGGCGGAGGGAAATCGGCAGGGAAGTCAATGGACCAGTCACGGCTAAGTTTTGGGAAAAGAGACTATTTAAGGAGTCAAGCGGGCGGGGGGAGGGAGGACATAGACTTGCTCTGAAGATAAAGACTAATGACTCTGGATTCTAAGCCAGCAGAAAGTAGGAAAGAAGGTGGGTGAAGGCCTGTACATGGGTGGTGCAGAAGGGCAGAGCTTGGATCTGGGCTGTGGGATATCTCGGTCTTATATTGGAGCCCTGTTGGTGTAGTGGTTAAGAGCTACTGCTGCTAACCAAAAAGTTGGCAATTAGAATCCACTAGCTGCTCCTTGGAAACCCTATAGGGCAGCTCTACTATGTCCTATAGGGTGGTTATGAGTTGGAATCAACTCAATGGCAACGGGTTTGATATTTTTGTGTTTGGTCCTATATTATTGCTATTGATCAGCTGGGTCTCAGTTTTCTTATGTACTAAATTTGGAAGAAAAAGGGATCAAATTGATTCCTAAGGGCCATTCCAGCTCTAATATCCTGTGGGTCCAATTCTAAGTTCCAGAGTTTCCTATATTGTCTGAATAAACATAGGTGCCCTCAATGTGGAAGGCTATGAAGACAGAGTTTGTGTAGAATTGAATACCCAGGGGTTGATCCTGCCTCCCAAAGAGAACACTTTAAAGCCTACACGGCCAGAGAAGATCTAGGCTGATCCCATCTGAACACGGGAGCTGAAATGGGACTTTCATGAACATACGTATCCTGCTTGTCCTATTTGAATTTAAACTCACATGGATGGAAGGACATGGGTGGGTATTTGTTATATAATTCTCTGACATGTTCTGTATTCATTTTTTTATTATTAAAAAATTACTTTTCCGGAGAAATAGAATAAACTCCATAGGGATAGAGCTTGCTTTCTAGAATCTCAGAATCTTTGATTTGAAAGTGACCCTAAGAGTCATCTAGTCCAAATTCCTCACCCCACCAATGGGAATTCTTTCTTTCCTGCCACCAAAAGATGGCTCCCACACTTGCTTGTAGTACTGCCCTGCAAGATAATTTATATAACGACAGAGTTAAATAATCCCTTCATTCAGCTGGGTCTCCTGCCCACCCCAGGAGCTCTCTCAAGAACAAACCACTAGATTTTGGTCTGACTCCAGCTTGGCAGCCTTCAACTTAAAACTCCAATCTCAGCTTCTTCTCAGAGAATGAGGAGGGTGGCGACATTGCAGGTTTTGGAGTCACACAGACCCAGGTTCAAGTCTCTCCTCCACTAATTACTAGGTGGGTGGCTTTGAGCAAAGTACCACAGCTCTCAGTGCCAAAAAAAAAAAAAAAAAAAAGAAACAACCATTGCTGTTGAGTCCAACTTACAGCAGCCCTATAAGACAGAGTAGAATTGCTGCATAGGGTTTCCTAGGCTATAATCTTTATAGGAGCGGATTGCCAGGTCTTTTCTCCGGCAGAACTGCTGGATGGGTTCAAACCACCAACATTTCGGTTAGCAGCGGAGTGCCTAACCACTGTTCCATCAGGGCTCCTTTGTGCCATTCATCTGTAAAAGACCAGGAACAATGCCCTCCAGAGGATTCATCAGGTGCGTGAGATGAGCATTTAACACATGCTCTCCAACTGCACCTGTCCCCCCACCAGGATGTGAGCATCTGTGGGGGCAGGACGTTTCTTGGATCCGTGATGCTCCTGTCCCAGTGCCTAACGTAGTGCTTTGCCTAGTCTAGAAATGCGAGAAAAAGAAGACTCCTTAGAATGTAGAACGGAGTGCTGTACTCAGATGTCTCTCAGCAATGCCTGTTAACAACCTAACAAAACTCTGCTGCCCTCTGTCCTCATAACAAAGATTTGCTCTGTGCACTCATAAGGTTTAAAATGGAAGAAAAAAAAAAAAAAACGGATGTGTGTTCAAACACAGAAACTGAAACTTTTTTTTTTTTCCCCTCTTGCTGGGAGTCTAATAAAACAGAAAGTTACACTGACTCTCAGCATCCGAGGAGGAGAATGGCTTTGGATATTGAGTCATGGGAGCGAACATTTCAAGAACTGATCCAACAGAAGAAACCCCGGGCCAGATGGACACTGAAGTTGGATGAGAAGCTTCAGCCAGACTGTGTGGCCCCAGAGTGGAAGCAATACCAGCAGAGAGCCTTTGGCAGGTGAGTGAGGGTTTTACCAAGCCATAGGGCTTCCTGAGCCAAGAGGCTCAGCTTACCAAACCAACTTGCTGTCAAGTCGACTCTCACTCGCTGTGACCCCATGTGTGTCAGCGTAGAACTGTACTTCATAGGATTTTCAGTGGCTGATTTTTCAGAAGTAGGTCACCAAGCCTCTTCTTCCGAGGAGCCTCTGGGTGGATTCAAACCTCCAGTCCGTCAGTTAGCAGCCGAGCGCATTAACCGTTTGCACCACCCAGGGACTCCTTTGAGAGCTTGTTAAAAGAAGAAATGACACCAGGCTGTCCATTCTTCTGTGGTCACCAATGCTCTTTAGGGTCTAATTGATGATACTTCTGTCCTCCATTCTGCTTAACTGAGGGAAGTTTCTTCTTTTAGTGGGTTGCCCTCTCTAAGGCTTTCTGGGAATCCCGGAGCGATGCCTCCATGTTGCATAAGTGTGCCCTCCTCCTCCTGTTCTCTCAAAACCTCGTTTGCTCCTTCCTGCCTCTCCAGTCTTCTGCCATGTCTCTCCTCAGACCTGACCAGCCTCTCCAGGCTCTACAGCTCTCCCAGTCTTGTTCAGTCCATGCCTGAAACTGGGTCCTTCCTTTAATGCCCGAAGAATTGACTAAGACCAAGCAATCTTGTTGAATATAGCTTTACTGAGGGCCGAGGATAATAGGAGAGAATGACAATGTAAAAATCAAATCTAGATCCTAGTTTCTGGAGTCCCTAAGTACTATCCCTTCCCTTAGTGGCTACTTCCCTCTTTAACCCCCAGCAGGCCTCCAAGTTGCAGGACGAGGGTCCTTCCCCATGTCAGGAGGGTGAGTATTGTTGGCCTGGACCATCAAGTCCTCTCTTTTTATATGACACACAGGGACCTTCAGTCTGCCTTTTCCACCTCACCTGTTATCCTTCTTCCCTCCTGCCCCTATCCTGCCTCAGGTGCTCTCTGCTCCATTCCTTCTGGACTGTTAGTCCTGCCACGCACTTCCATACTTCCATGCCCTTGTTCATGATGATCCGCCTGTTTGGCAGGCCCTTCCCTTGCCCGCCTCTCCCCTCCTCATCCTTCAAGAACCAACTCTAGTGCCATCTCCTCCTTAAAGCATTCTCTGATCCTCCTGGTCAGAAAGAAGTGTTTCTTCTTCTATATTCACATAAGATAATGGTGTTAAATATACATCTATATACTCATGTCATTGTTAATTGCTGTTGAGTCAATTTCAACCCATGGTGACCCCATGTGTGCAGATTAGAGCTGCTCCGCAGGGTTTTCAAGGCTGTGCCTTCTTGGAAGCAGATCACCAGGCTCTTCTTCCAAGGCATCTCTGGGTGGATTCAAACCACCAACCATTTGGTAGTAGTCAGATGCTTAGCCATTTACCCCAACCAGGGACTTCTATATATACACATACATATCTTAAAACAGTATGTATGAATAACATATGTATATATTTGTA